GCGGCAGCGCACGTCGGCGGGGAGAACCGCCTCCCGCCCCGCCCAGGACCCGGACCCGTCCCCTGACGCCACGGACCGCCGCCGCCTCCTGTCCGTCACCAACTGGCTAGGCACTTCGGACAGCGCCCGGCCCAGTCTAACACCCTCTACTGATATTGAGATGTTTGACTGTTAAAACAGTCTAGGGCCTTAGGAAAAAAATTAATGTTGTGTTTCTGGCTTCCCGACCAACCCTAGCACTTATCTACTGACCCTTCCCTTTGTGATCGACCGCTGTGAGGCTACAAAATTTTGATTTAATTTCAAACCCTCTAAATAGTCTGAAACGTCGTTTCAGAAGCATTTGCATTGGCATTTTCAGAAGCAATTTATTTGTTCACAAGCAAGCAGGTAGATGGGTCCTTTGGTCATTTTCGCTGAAATTAACAAAACAAGTTTAAAAAATCCCTACCTATAGACCCTAGTTTTTTCGGGATAACCCAGAAACACAACATTAATATTCCTAGGCCTTGTGATATTGGGATGTACAACTGTTAGAGGCATGTGTTTGGTAAAGTAGATACTTAGATATGTGAACATGTGTATTCTCATACTGTATATAAAATATAGAGAAAACTGCAGTAGGTTAGAGTAAACTTTTAATGATGGCAATAGATCAGCATATATTGTTTTCCCACTTTACCAAGATAACCAGCATCAGTTAAAAATACACATAATAACACTGGTCAGGCAAAACATACAAAAACACAGTGAAACTTTGCAAATTCATCTGTATGCAAAAGACCCAGCTTTACTTGGTAATTGCTTGGCAGAGCTAATCAACTAAGGGAGAGCATAGCCTCCCTACCAGACTCTACAAGTCGGTCTTCTGGAGGGTTATAATGTGCAGAAAAGGCATACGATATGCGAAAAAAAGCCTGACATAGGGCCTGCTAAGGAGGCTACATGTAGGTGGAACACACGTAGATACATATCTACACGACTTACCCGTTCAAAATAAGAACTTTAGCCATTAATTATGTCTTGATCAATGTTTGAGATAAGAACGATGAACACTAGTGTTCTAAGACTTTTAAGCATTAGGCTAATCTCCAATCAGGTCCTTCGGTGGCCAAAACAGTATCGAATTGACCAGATAGTACACGTTAGCCCATTGGATACTGTTTAGCCAATTGGATTAGACTACAAGAATTCCAATCTCTAAGCACAGTTTAAAGCATGAGTGAGTTCAATAGGGTAAAACAATAACGTTTACGTATGCTTTAAGATAGGATTTTGTGCGGTGTAAAGTCTTGGCTACCGAAAAAATCCGTTTTAAGATAATAAATATAGCCAAGGATATATCAGTATGATCCAACTTTTCTTGACGATAACCCTTTAAGTACGGGTTTGAACTAAACACAGCATCAGCTGAAGAAGTCACTGAAACTGTAGATTTGACACACTGGTTTTCAAAGCGTTACCAGCAAGATGAGTGTGGTTTAAAAGTAGACTAGTTATTTTTTCTTCCATTGTAAAATCTTGCCTGTCTAGATTACAGATTGAAATAAAGTGTTCGTAACAAAATGTGACTTTAGATATATATTTGAGTATTATATATATGCACTAGTTTTCAGTGCATTAGCATAATTATTTTTCAGAGCCACAGGAACATACCAATAGAACGTTTGCTATAGGAACCTTAAATATATAATAGGTGAATGTCCAAGAGCTGTACACACAATTGCAAATGTGTTTCGTCATTTTTCAAGCAATTACTTCTTTCAATTATGTATTTAAACATGTCTCTCTCTAAAACGTGGAAATTCTGTGCGCTTTCTCTTGAAATAGTTATATGGCTACGGCGGACGTCCTAGATTACGTCATATCCACTTTACCGAAAACCGTATAAGCTGGTTCACGGTTCGCCTTGCGCATGTCATCGTGATACATTGTGAGTAACATGTCAAGTTGAAGGCCACTGAGACATACACAAAACTCATCTAGACAGGTATCGAGCTTAAGCCTGCACAGTTCAGACCGTGAATCGACTTATTGTTATGAAAATGGCTATTATGTCCTCTTAGTTTGTATTGGTGCCTTATCCCCTTCCAGGCTCAAGTCTAGACCAATAAGGGAGGCTTTCTTTGGTGGCACCAGAGACGCCTCTAGCTTTCCAAATCTTGGGTCTTCAACGGCCTTTCGGTTTTGTAGTTGTCCCTTTTCGTTCTTCCCCTCCAGATTAAGCTTTTGTGTATGAACAAGTGGACCGTTCAGTGTCACACGCTTCTCCAGCGGCGCATGCGTTGGTTGACGAGGCGAGATTGCACGAGGGCTCTTCGTGTTTGTTCGGCCGATTTCGGGTAACTTCGCCCTATCGCCGCTCGGGGCTTGCTTCCCGCTCGGCACACGAGCGCCGTACATAAACTTCGGCTTCGACTCCAAGTCGGGAAACTCGTAAGAACCGGGTTTTTCTCCGAAAATTTTACTCTCCTGTCTTTTCAAGAAGGATATCCGCTGGTTTTCCAACATGACGCCAGTTTTGGTCTGCTCCTTCCCGATATTCGCCAGCCGCAGATTCAGAAGCTTGTTTTCGCTGATGTTGTCCCGGAGTAGGACGCGTTTGAAGTTGTTGGGTTTCGGAAGGATGTTTCTTCGAGTGTTGCTGTTTGACTCATCTTCAATGTCCTTCATGTTGCTCGAATCTTCTTTACAGATCCAGCCAAAGATTTTCGTCTTCTAGCATTGCTCTTGATCAATCAGAGAGCTCTTAGGAGGATCATATCCCTTAAAACAGATCTGAAAAAGAAAATAATATTTTCAGTGCTACTTCACAAAAGCTGGATCACGTATTCAATTTGTTTTATATCACAATTATGAATTATTATCCTATTTCAGACCCATGAATGTTTGCCAGGGTTGATCAATAGACTGGTTCTACTACCTCTGAGA